TCCAGCCCGAGCGCATCCCTGGAGCGGCGCTCGCGCGCGGCTTGCCAGCCGGCCGCGGATGGTCTCGTACCCCCACCAGTACATGCCCGAGAAGGGGACGTCGCGCCACAGGGTGAGGGAGAGGCCGCGCCAGAGGGAGCGGTAGCCGTGGGCGGCGACCATGTCCTGGATGCCGCGGAAGGTGGAGGTGAGCGGGTTGGTCGCGGCGCGCTCGGGCACGGCCTGCAGACGGGTGCGGAACAGCTCGATGGGCGACACCACGGTGGCGGCGAGTATGCGCGCGGCCGAGCCTGCTACCAGCGGTGCGTAGTCGTCCGGCACCGCCCGCGCGATCGGGCTGCCTGCTCGGTTGAACCGCAGCCACTCGTATCCCGTGAAGTAGATGATGTTGGCCGGGATCGCCATGACCAGCGTCGGCGAGAGGCCGCGCCAGAGCGTTGTCACGCCCTCATTTGCGGGCAATCTTTGCGTAGGCCGTCGAAGGTCGAGGTGAATGTTCGTTGTTGAGTTTCTTCGACGGCGCAGGCTACTGTTGATGCGGTTCCCGGGTTCGGAATGGGGGTGCTGTTTTGTGGAAGGACGCGGGGCCCGGCGAGGCAGACTTCGGATGTGTTGTTGGTGAAAAAGACCTCGCGGCAACAGGCGGTGACGCCAAGGTCAGCCGGGCGGAAGGCGGCGCCGCCTGGAGTGGCGGCGGTCGGCAGGGCGAGCTTGGTAAAGTCGATGGCGGGTTGGGTGACGCCTTGGGATTGCCATCGAACGCGGACGACGTCGAGGGGCGTTGCTGGAGGGGTTAGTTAGTTTTTGCTGCCGCATCTGTGGGGACTTGACGGTGTTACGTGCCTAGCAAGCCCGTCAACAAGCTCCCCGATGTAGCTGAGAGCATCTTCTGCACTGCCGTGATCTCAACGGCCTCGTTCGGAAGGTCGGCCGCGGCGCCATGGTCGGATATTATGTCGTGGTTCTGACCAGCAGCTCCGTGCGCATGCACGCTCGTTGCAAATGGAGCCATCCGGTAGTCTGCAAATCTATGCGACTGTTCTCATGGCCTGGCGATGCAATTGTCAAGCAAGGACCGAGTTATCGCAGAGGCGAATACCCCTCAAGCGCAATCCGAGTCCCGCTCTTTGAATGCCGAGGTGGAGTCGAGAGTCGGTGCCAGTCGTCTTTCTTCTCGGCGGGGGGATTTCTTGAGGCGTAAGAAACCCAGATGGTTGTAATTGTTAAAGTAGAAGAATTGGGTTGTCGACGGGTTTTAGCGTTGTCGTGCTGATATGCGGAGGCGAAAAAGTCGGGTCCGAACGCGCGATCGGAGTCGGCGTCATCGCAAAAAGATGATTTTCAAACCCACCGGGCCGGAAAAAGCGGGTCGGGCAGAAGAGCCTGGAAGCTGCCGGGACAAGTTGCCAAGAAGCCGCCTCAAACCGACAGCTCTGCTTATGTCATGCGAGCTCCTCCATAGTTATAACTAGTTATTCACGTGATATTCGAGCTGCCCTGAGTCTCAATACTTTGCCAAGTCCTTGCTAGAATGGCCAAAGCTTCACTGTCTTGGCGGTGAAACGAATGGAACCCAAACAGGCCACAACCCCACCTTTTCGCTAACGACGTGCCTGTAACTGCCGGGCCGGGGATGTGGACCTTCTTCCAACACCAATCTATCCACGTCCAACTCATGCGCCCCCAGAGAAATCCCGCTTCATCTCTGTGCTTTTACCGCCCCACGCAGGCGACGTAAGCTTCATCAATCTTCCCGCTCGAAGCTTCTTAGAACATGCCGCTGCAGGGCACTTTCCGGTAGTTACTGCGCAACAATTAATTGCGAGCCGAGTTCCGAGAGAAAGGGGACGACATTCCACGCTAGCTACTCATAGTACGACGGTATATAGCAACTGTGCAAAATCATCGGGAAACCTGGCACGTGTATGTAAGCAGACAACATGGCATGCTTCGTGTTCTGTATGGGCAGTGTCCAATAATGCTATGAATAATGTCTAAAGTAGGTAGGCACCTCGGTTTGCTACGTCTCACACTAGATCTCGTCTGTTCAATGCTGCCAGCACATAGGGAGTGTAATGTTTTGTCGTCCCTTTGGTCACCGCGCCGCACCAAATACTTGTACAAGCAAGCAAATACACTCTCAATAAGTAAAGGAGAAAAGAGAACAAGGAGAAAAAGTGATGCTTTTCCTCCTCATGTCCGCACCATGGTATGCTGCAACAAATGAAACAACTCAGCATGAATAGCTATGCTCTGTGAAAATATGTTCGGTATGCTTGGCATAAGAAATGAAGCCCGTCGGCGGGGATAAACGGAGAACCGGTAGTGACTGAAGACAGGCCGATTGGGATGCAAACAGGATAGAGGTATCGCGCAAAGGAAATATCCACTCAGCAATTTCTCATCAATCACCCGACATATCATGGAAAGAAATAGTTCGGAAGCACTCCACCGCTCCCTCCCGACTCCGACCATGTCATTACCCTCTTTTCAGTGCAACTTTTCCTTCAGATACACAACCGCCGCGTACCCAGCACAGCAACCCCTGCTCATGTTGTGGTGGCACCAGGGGCACTTGACCATGGTCGTGATGGCCCCCGAGATGCCCAGCAGCTTGTCCTCAACCACCGCGTCCGGCTTGGCCATGCACTCGTAGAGCTTGGACGGCATGTCATGGTAGAACTTGCAGTTGCAGCACTCGACAAACATCTTGGCAATCGGTGCCATCCCGGTCGTCGGTGGCCGCACCTGGATTCCCGTTTGTAGCTGCATGTGCTTGGGAATTGCCGAGAGGGCTGGCGGCCGGTCCGATGCCGAACTCTTGGGTTGTTTCAAGATCGAAACTGGTGCCGCCCCGGACGGACGGGACGACGGCGTGGAAGCCCCCGACGCCGCCAGGGATGACAGCGAAGAAATCGGGGCAGAATTGGCTCGGGGCTGTGAAGGGGGTTTCGACGGAATCTGATGAAGTGGACTTGGTAGGGAGACGGGGGACGGTGGCCCGGCTGAGCTTGGAATATCGCCCAAGACACCGTGATGCGTGAGCTGTTCTGGAAGATTGGCAAAACAGGGGTCGTTGGGCATTTGTAAATCCGGAGTTAGAACTTGGGGGGATGTCGGCCCAGCGGAGGGGACTGCAGAGTTGGTCAAGGATATCGAGCCGGGCGCCCAGCCGTGCTGTGGGCTGCCGGAAGCCGGTTCGACCCCGTATTCGTCCCTCTGCGCTCCACGCTCTGGCGTTATCTCCAACTCTCGTTGCTCCGTCCGCTTTTCTTGAAACTTCTTTCTATACCGCTCTGGTCCACTTTCTTGCGGCTCCCTCCGGTCCGGATGCTCCAAGGGTCTGGGGTGGTTTCCTGACGCCGCCACCTTCGGTGATTCTCTGGACTTGATCCCATTTTCAAGCTGCTCCGAAGTTTTTATCATGTCCTGTGTTGCCCCATCCTCTTTCTGCCGCCGCTCTGTTGGAGCGAATGAGGAAACTGGCGGTCCGTTTTGCGAGCTCTGGCTGCGTTTTCGAGATCGCGGTGGGATCGATATTACGGGCTCAACCTCCTTGGTGGGGGTCCCAGATTTCGATGCCACCCTGAGTGGTTTCGGTTGTTCTACAGCCGCCTCGGGGGGTGGCGGGCTATTCGGCGACATCTCTTCGGTGTCATCCACATTGTCGAAGTTGGAAACCGTGGTCATAAAAGACTGTGCATCACCATCGATATCGATGGGCAAGGCCGTTCTGCTCCAACGGTCGTCGCTCCCCATCTCACCGCTGCCGCGCGTTTCCGAGTCGCGGACACGGGGCGTACTTGACTTGCTAGAATCTGGCGACTGGCGGAGTAGTTGTTCATCGTCCTGAGGTCCGAGAGGCTCAGGAACCCTCTTTCCAGGTCCCTTCGCGACTAGCGGGATATCTTTTGCCGACTGTGGCCGTGAGGTGTCTGGGGTTGTCGTTGATGATGGAAGCGCCGATCCGTCTTCGTAGGCGGATGAAGATGAGGAACCCTCGGATACCCGGGAGCCTCCTTGGGTACCCGTCTCGGTTGCTTTGGCTTGGTGAGAAACCGAGGCCACGGCAGCGGGGCTCTGAAACGAGTTAGCACTTTGAATCCATTGATAAGCCCAAAACGAAGAGAAGGCAATAACCTACGGAAGCGGTCGCTGAGGTGGCCTGCGATGATGTTTTGTTTTCTGTGTGGGCCGATGCTCGAGAATGCATGAGAGCCCGCAGCCTGTAGTATGGTGGCAGCAAAGGAACGGAGGATTGGGAATTCTCAACCGGGGTTTGAGCCTCTTTGGACCTGCTCAGAGCGGACTTTGTGACGTCCCTCAAACTCCGGCTTTTCTTGCCGTGGCTGCTCGAGCCAGAACCAGCAGTGGACGGATCGCTCGAGCTAGCAGAGCTTTGAGAAGTTGATGGGCGTTCGTGGTCATGGGACCGGGGAGGCCCATCAACATTCCTAGGCGATGCGGGGATGCTTCCAACCGATCCCGAAGCACTGACGTTGGAAGAGTACGGGACCGCTTTGAAGGTCAAGTAATCGACTTGGTCATTGCCGTCTCTGGCTGAGGAGGGCGTCTTGATGCCCACAAGTTTCATTGCCGCAGACCTGGCTTCTTGTGTTAGAGAGGACCGCCTCGCGTGCTGAGTTTGCCCAGGACTAGAGCTCGAGGGCGGATAGTATTGGCCAATGTCGGCCACTAGCTGCTCGTCGGCAAGACCGGCCATTGCCCGCTCAGCGACCTGCGCTCTTTGATGGAGTACATATCCGTTGCGGCGAGCTCCATCAGCGGTGGGAACTGCGGACGGGGACTCTTGTAAGTGGTTGGTGCGTGAAATCCCTTGTGCCGAAGAGTTGCCTCGGGGGCCAGAAGGAGACATGTGCCGGATCTTGGGAGTTCTCGAAGACGAGGGCGGGAATGCATCACGCGGAGACCGGCTTTCATGCTTGGATGGAGGGGATTGGGCGGGCTGCTGCGTGGAGGGTGCTGGCCCTTCTGACATGGACCGGCGCATTTCCTGCCGTGGAGCGAAGCGATTGTCGCGGAACAAATGATGGGATATCGTAGAGGGGTCGCTTGTGCCTTCGCCGTACCAACCGCCAGCGCCCGAATCAGAAACGATCTCGGCCAGAGCAGGTTGGTGCCACCGGGTTTGTTGGAGATCGTCAGCAGAGACAGTCCGCCCTACTACCTCCGGCTGATGGGGGGGCTGGCTGCCTTGAACCAGGTGCCTGCTGACGAGCAGTGGGTCTGACATCGAACGATCCGTAGCAGTCATCGCCAAAGACCTGGAATCCCGACTGGCTGTCACAGGCGGCGGCGGCGGCGGTGGTGGTGCTTTGCTTAGCCTCGACGTGCCCCGTTTCTTTGCGGCTTTGGCCTCTTTTTCGGCTTGTTCTTTTTCTTTCTTTCGACGCTCGGCTTCAAACTTCTTGTCTTTTTTTCTCTGGCCGTAACCCTCCCAGCTCGGAGACTGGCATATCGATGATTGCTCCGATTTGCCATCCTCGTCATCGTAGTGGCCATCCGGCGAGAGAAACTTCACTTGCTTCTGAAACGGCTCATTGTTGGTCGGAGTGCCGACCTCCTCATATTCGTCCTCCTCCTCGGCCTCCCATTCGTCCCGGCGGTTCTGCCGGAAGTTACCGGCTCCCTGGGGTATGGAAAGGGATAGTGAGGGTGGAATAACGGTGCGTTGCGTGGCCCTGACCATCAGGAATTGCTCTTGTGGGAATAGAATGTCCGGACGTTCAGGCCGAGGCGGAGGGCCGTCTTTGAGCTGGGTTGGGGATTGGGACGAGGGGAGAAGGAGTTTGGGACCTTGCGATTGCTCCGTCTATGAAGAAGATGCGAAGGGCAATGTTAGAGAGACATAGCTCGGTATAAGACATGCACAAGGTACCCAAGACACGAACCCAACCAAGAAGCAAGCGGTGAGTGCAGCTGGGGCGGGGCGAAACGCACCTTGTATTTCTTTTCGAGCTCCAGCATTCGCTGGAAGCTGCTAGACTTAAGTAAGTCTTCCGTTCTCCGCTCGATTTCAGCCATGGCCGACTTGGGCAAAGCCCCGACGCCATACGGGGAGAACAGGATGTCCATGGTAGCGGTAACGGAGGTGAACGGCGATAGAGGGAAACGTGTAAATAAATACGGCCACCCTCGCCAGAGGGAAACCTCCGAAGAAGGAGATCCAGTGAAACTAGAGCAAGATACGGAGCTAAGTATGTACACAGAGGCTTGGAGGCAAGAGTGAGGGCTGATGCTCTTGAAAAAGGTCCCGGGAGCTCCGTGTGTCCGCGTCCAAGGAGGGGGTGTGTGGGAGAACAAGACAGGCAGACTGTATAACCCCGGTCCTTGTTGGCGACGCTCGATCCCGGGCAGGGTACAGACATGCTATGATCTCCCGCAACTGACGAAGCAAGTGTCTGAAATTCGGGCACGCGTAGCCGCAGCTGGTGGGTGAATGCACCGTGTCTGGGGCTACGGGTAAAATGCCTTGTCGCTGGCCGGTCTTCACCCGGTGGCGAGCTCACTTGCAGGTCGCAGTTCTCCTGCTGGCGGTTATTGCATACATTAGACGGCCCCGCTGGGGGTAGGATTGGCGGGATGTGCCTCTCCAGGGGGGGGTTGACGAAGAATAAAAAGAAGCAGCTCGCTACTTTGCAGCTTGCCTTCGCTCCGAGCCGCAGAAGAGCACATCATGGTCCTTGCCATGCGGTTCCACCAGACGTGCAGACACGCAGCACGCAGGCAAGAAAATATAAATAAACAAATATAAAAATTCGGTAGGCCAGGGACGTCCAGTCGGTGCAGTGCGGTGTGATGCGGTGCGATGCGGTGTGACTTGTATCCCCATCGCTGCTGTCTGAAAGGGAAGTTAATGTTAGTCAGGAACAGCGAATGCAGGACAACACGAGGTCGCCGTGGGCAGCAGCCAGTCAACGTGCCAAACCTAGGGACCCAAAAACCAGTCTCGGGACGTTGGGGGCGGCGTATTGCAGCTGCGTGTTATGTGACCTGTGTTCTCACTTCCATTTTGTTCGAACGATGTATCACAAAATCCAGCTGCCCAGGTGAGAGGGGTAGAACGTACAAAGTGACCGGGTGGCACAAACGGAGCCGCGAGGTGCAGAAACGAAAAGCATTGAAACCCGGGAACGGCCCGGGTTTTAGACGAGATGGAAGTTTACGGGAAGGAATGCAAGCTGAGAAGTGAGCTATCACTATCGTCTACCTAGGGAAGTCACGGCTGCATCAGCTGATTCGGACTAGGGAGTCATGGATGTTAGGAAAGGCACATCTGAAGTTGTGTGTCAAGTGTGTCAATGTAGAGCAAATAGAGGGAAGGCTTCCATAGGTTGAAGGGCCTGAGCTCAGAGATGGTTCTGAGATGGCTCAGGTGGCCCTGATCGGGACCCCTGCAGCAGGCTGAACCCCTGCAGGGCTTAGCGCTCCTATCAAACCCAAAGGGGTCGGGCTTGGCACTATTTCTCTCTCATCTCATATTTCAGCAGTCACACAATAAGCTTTCTTCGCGCTGCATCGATCGCCGCCGCCGAGCAACCAAGAAAACGACCCAAGGCCTTTCCCTTCGACACCGCACATACAAGTATGGCTTTTTTTTTTCTGAATTGTGCCGGACGCCCCGCTTTGTTTCTGCCCAGCTGCCCGTTCTATTCCCAGTTGGAAGCGAGACAAGCTGGGTCCCACGGGTTGTCCCTCCGGCCGACCGAAGCACCTTCAGCTTCCCTGACGGCATACCGAGCAAATATCACCCAACCATCCTGTCCCGACTTGACACCGGGCGAGACCAGCCCAGAGCCTGCGCAAGACAATACAGCGTGGTACCGAGCACGCCCTTTTCGGGGGATTGGTAAGTCTTGCGAGATTGGCATGCGTGGATATGCTGTCTCACGCTGGAAACCACTACCTTCCCTGGTTGCCGCGCGAGTCTAGGCTCAGGCGCAGGGCGATGGCGATCCTCGGCGCGGCAAGTTTGACGCCGGATTACCTGCAAGGAGACCTAGGAGGACTCTGAAGCGAGTCTCTCCCACGCACTCCAAGGGCGTATTCGGGCGAAATATCTCGGCCTGCGCTGCCATAGCTGCCGCCGTCATCGCCCGTGACACCTTGCCCACATACACGGCCGGAGAGACATGGGATGTCCGGCCATGGCGCCATCCGTCATGTGCAACAGCCCTCCCATCGATACCACGGCCCGCGCCCGGCCGTCGCGCTGCTTCAGCTCCTTAGGTCAAAAATACGACCTCAGCTGCAATCATCTCTCCCCGGTCCCCCCTCGCATGCCGCCCTTAGGAAATCCAGGGCTAGGCATTGGGAGCCTGAGACATCGGCGCCGCTGCAGGCCTCTCACGGAGCGCCGAGTGGTGCTACTGTGCAGTTCGTTGTTCGTCACCCATGCAGATCGGATCGAGCCTGGGCATTCGCTCGGCAGGTCTAGGCAAGTGCTTGATTGAGACTGCGGTCCCGGGTCACAGCTCGTGAGCGATTCATGGCACTTTCTGAGACCACTCTAAACATTCCCCCATAGTGATCCGGAAGTTTGGCACGGGTTGCCGAACCCGCCACCGTTCCATGGTTTTCCTGGTCAGAGCAAGAAGAGATATTATCCAACACTTCTTCCAGCACGCGGAAAATAATTCCCCGCTGCAGCCAGCATCCGGGCCCTCGGGATGGTGGCTTCGACCCGCTGAGAGAAATATTCATAAATTGGGGCTTACGTGTCCGCCTACAAAGTCCTCGCTCTCTTCCCGCCCCCATCTCCCCACTTGCCTGAGTTTCCCTTCTTCTGTCGTCTTCCACCTGAGCACGATGGCACGGGATTTAATGGCTATTGGTTCTACCGACATGCCACGGCCCCGTGGGGAATGCCTGCGCTGCTATTCTTAACAGGCTTGGGCCAGTTAATATGGGCGACCTCAGCCGGCATTCGGCAAGCGTACCAAGGGCGAGCCTTCTAGTTCTGCCGGTTTAATGACTGGCCCTCCACTGGCCCAAACCTCTTCCCTCTTGCTAACCAACAACACTCGGACGAGGATCCTGTTGGATCGGCACCCTCTACATTGCAGATCATTACCACGTTTTGCTTACTGGGTACAGGAGTCGCCCGCGAAACCTGAACGAACGATTTCAGCACGGCACCCCCGACGCATCTTATGTCCGATGTCGCCCAATACTTCGGGCCTGGCGGCGCGCTTGCCGCACACACACGTCGCTGCTGGACATTCGCATCGGATTTCGGCAGCCGGGGATCGCCAAGCTAACCAGGCGAGCCAGGAACCCGTCAGGCAATGACACCCTCCTGACTGCCCAGGACGGGCAACCGGCCATTCCGCCTCAGATATCGCGCGATAGAATCCTGGCTAGGCGATTGATGACACCAGATCTCGTTCCCTGGACCCTGGTTCATCAAGCCCCTCGGCGAAGCTAGCGATGCGTCTCGCTGGAACATGCTTCGGAGACGCGTCGAGAATTCGTTGGGGATCTTTAACCGGGCTGCGACCCATTTGTCGTCAGGTCGGTGATCAGACACGGCCTCGGTTTCGGAGTCTGCGCTGCCTAGCAGCTGCTCGTCCGCCCATGCCTCGGCAAACCTGGTTTGCGGCGCGGGCAGCGTGAGCTTGAGGAACTCAAGTGCCGAGTGCACTGTGAGGCAAATGGCGCGCTTGGGGTCTACGATGGTCTTCATGAACAACGACATCCAATTTGGATAAAGAACCGCAAAGTCGGTCTGGGACAGGTGTGTCGATCCTCGGATGGTCGTCATCCAGGAGAGCGTGTCTGCCGCCCGGGCTTCGTTGCACACCTGTTCGATGCAATCGAAGTTCTCGGCCCAGTGCATAAAGGCCTCACTACCGATGGACAGCACCGGCTTGTGGACCGACTTATGTTCGGTGCATTCCGGCGTTGCGGGGCCCCACGGGTCGAGCAGGATGCCCTGGGTAATCCAGGCAAGCTTGTCGGACCTCAACGCCTGAACCGTCGTCGCGCCGCCGAAAGAGTGGCCCATCATGGTGACGCTTTCTAGGTCCAGCCGACCTTCCCAGTCTCGCCAGTCGATGCCGCGAAGGCCGATCGAACTGGAGCCGATGTGGCCCACTTCCCGAAGGTTGTCGCGGCGCACTTTGTCTCCGCTCCCATTGTTTACCAATCCCATGACGTAGAACGCCTCCTCGATCTCGGCTAGCCTCATCTCGATCTGTGCCCCGCGCAATTCCTTGTCGACCCCATTGGGGTTGTGTGGAGAGGTATCCTGAGCGTTGTCCTTGGGAACGAGGTAGTCGATCTTGTAGTACGGCCGTATCTCGGTGTTCCTCTTCCTCCGTGTCCTACGGCGCTTCTTCTCATTCTCCGGCGGCCCGGCCGACTTATCCACATCCTGACTCTCCAGATTTTCTTTCTTGCCGGCCTTGTTGACAAAGGTCCGAGCCCCACTCCCGTCGCGGTGTTCGACCGCCACCACCACCAACCCAAAGCTAGCCAGCTCGCCACAGATAGAGCTGTACAGCGTCCGCGACCCCCCAAGACCGTGGCTGAAGATAACCACAGGAAACCGCGGCTTGTCACATACCCCCTCCTTATCCCCCTCCCCTTCCACCAGTGTCTCGCCGCTCTCGTAACCGCCGGCGCTGGTCGTCGCCTCGCCCTGTTGCGCTGCCCCGATGGCCGTGCTCGTGCTGGGCCATCGCTCGGATAGCTGGGCGTTCCGGTACGCGGGTAGCTTGGTGAACATGCTTGTCGAGGCCATGTAGGCGGTGACGGGCCAGTGGGGGACGTTGAAGAACTTGGCGTAGCCTTTGCATGTCGCGCCGCGCGGACGGGGGAGCCATGGGACCCGGCGAAGGTGTGGCTGCTTTTGACCGTCCCGTTCTATCCTCCGTTCCTCACCCTCCTTCTTGCTTTCTGTTTGAACTGACGCCCGGTCGCCATCGCTGGCCACCCGCTCTCCGCCTCCTAGGACCACCGCTGCTGTCGCCGCCCTACCCTTCTTAACCGGCCCCCTTTTCCTATCGTTTTGGGGGTCGAGGTCTGCGGGGTAGTACACGGCAAAGAGCACCGTGTCGAGCTTGAGCGCGAACTCGCCGTTGCGCTTGATGTGTGGCGCGAAGGCGCGCGGGCGCCGTGCCGGGAGCTCGAGCTCGAGAAAGCCGACTTGGTAGGGGCCTGTGTAGGGCGGCAGGGCGTGTTGCACGCGGTCGCGGGGGGTTTTTCTGGGTGGGTTGGGCATTTTTTGTAGGCGTTTTTTTTTATTGATTTATTATTTGTGGTGTTGTAGGAGGGCGGTCGCTGATGGTTAAAATCGGGAGGATTAGGGGGCGTGTTGTTGTTATTCGTGTTATTGGTGTTATTGTCGTGAGCGCCGGTGGTTTTTAGGGGAGGATTAACGCAAGGGAGGTGAGGTGGTAGGAATGTTGGCTGCGAATTCCACGGTTTTGAATTCCAGTGGCGTCTGTCCTCTCCCTAACATGGACTTGTAGTAGTCTGGCAAAAATAACAGCCAAACAGATGAGAGCTGTTTTTCAGTGGGTAAATAGATTGGATTTATCTGAACTCTCGTGAGCTCTTGCCTGGCTGGTTCCAATTCAGGTACGCATGACGTCATAGAATCTCGTTCCTGGAGGCCCGCTCCGGAACTTCGGATGACTGCCCTGGTGGGTTCCTCACGCTTGCTGCCATGTCGCGCTCTCCCTTTAAGGTACCGTACCTATGAATAAATCTCAAGCTTGGCCGTACTTGCCCTGTAGGTGGTGGTCACTGTGCCTTATCTTTTAGATCATGAAATAGCACAAGAAGGAAGGTTGATTTGCAGATTCGAGATTTGCAGATACTCCTTGTCTTGAACTAAGCGCAACACAGTACCTAGTCGGACTTACACCTCTCAAGCGCTGCCACCAGTCCCCCAAACCTCTTTGACAGACAAGGCAAAGTCCCTAAACTTCCTAGGCACTGACCCCGTTACAGCTAAAATTACATCGTTCGTTCGGTTCTCAGAGCCATTTTTAACGGACGTGTCCATGGCGCTCATCATCCTCGAATAGTCCTCGGGCATCCCAAAGGACTGGTGGCGCTGCTCGAGCTCTTCGGGCGAGAGATCGACATGCACAATCTTTCGACCTAGTACTTCACTGAGGATGTTTGCGATCTAGAATCGTTTAGTTATCGCGGAAAATATTTCAACACCACCATTACGATGGAACGTACCTCGCCATAAGAAAGCAACTCGGACCCCAGAACCAGATACTCAGAGTTCGGCGCCACCTCATCCGTCAAGGTTCGCACGGCAACGGCAGCAATGTCGTCGGCCGACACCCACGGGATCTTGGCATCGCTTGTCGCCGAGTACACCTTGCTATCGTTCTTGATACCCTCGACATGAAACGGTAGGTCGGCAAAGTTTTCTACAGCACGGCCAAGTCAACAACCACCCTCGTCACTCACGCACACACACTCCAACAATTTTGGACATATAAGAAACCGGAAAAGCCCTCCAAAAGGGAAGGGAAAGCACATACGTTGAAACCACGTCGGGCGCAACGCAGCCCACTCCACCTCGCCGCGCTGGCCGAGCTCGCGCAGATAGGCGTGCACCTTGCCCATGGCGGGCCCGCCGGCCTCGATTGGCGACGCGCTCAGCAGCACAAACCGCGGCACGCCGCGGCTGCGCGCCAAGTCGACAAAGTCGATCATGGTCTGCTCGGCGCCGAGCGTCGGCGGGGCGATCAGAAAAACGGCTGCGATGTTGGTCTTGTTGTTGTCCGTGGTGGAAAATAGGTCGTCCCAGGTGTCGGTGTTGTGCCAGTCGAATGGGACGGGCTGGACGTTGGGGCCATCTGTTTTGGGGGCTACTGCATTCTTGCTGGTGTTGCGGGAGGCGACGAGGATGCGGTGCGGGTGCGACGAGGCCGCGAGCTGGCTGACTATGCGGCTGCCGACAGTGCCTGTCCCGCCCAGAACGAGAATGGCGGGTTGGGAGGAGGTGGGCATGATGGAGAAATCTTGGATAGGGCAATGGGAGGGATGTTGATGTTGTTCAGACGGAAAGTGAAAGTGCCTGTCTACGTTGTGAATGTAAGTTGTGCAATCTTGCCTGAAAAAGGGGGTTACTATTCTGTATATTTCACACTCGACGACGCTATGAGCTCATCAATCATGAGCTCATCGAGCAGCAGCCAAGAAGGGTTCGGTGCAACCCACACCCCAAGTTGACCAACCAGGGGCTTCCCTCTGCCGTCGAACTGCCCGATCCGGAGCTTACGTCATAAACTCCGGCGCACTAAATCCGGCAGGGTCCACTTTCACCCGGTGAATTGTGGGGTTCGGCCGGAAGTTGACGGCGTTATGGGGCGGTTGTGGTGATTGTTTGTTCGGGGATTGGGACTGTATTATGAATCCGGCAGAACTGATGCGCCGGCGACGTATTGGAACACTATACAAAACAGACAACGACTCCTGAACCCCTTGGCTTACACAACCAAACCATCCAATACATCACCACTGGCTACACCACGCTGACGACATTTCGATACTCAAAATGCCTTCCTACGACATCCCCCAGTACCTGCTCGACAGAGCCAACATTCACGACACCGTAACCAAAGTGGTATGCACCCCTCACCCCTTCCCCCATCCACCCACCAACAACAACAACAAAACCACCCCCTTAATCACCCCCCGATCCCATCCATCCACCACCCCCCAACCACCCCCCCTCCCTCCCTCTCCCAATTAACCAACCAAAACCAATAAAAAAAAAAACCAAACAGCCCCTCTACTACGACACCATCAACCTCCCCGCCCTCCAAGCCGAAGTCTACGGCCCCTCCATCGAAATCGACTACACCTCTGTCCTCGGCGGCACCCCCTACACCATCTCCCGCGACGAGTGGATCACCCAGGTCGGCGCGCTGCTGGATGCCTTTAAGTCGTCGCAGCATGTTACGTCGTAGGTTTTTTTTTTTTTTTTTTTTATCCCATCTGGTCTTGTCACGTCTCGTCGGTGGTGTTATCGCTGTTTTGTCGTCGTGTCGTGAGTGACTAGCTAGCTGGGTGGTGGTGGTGATGGGGTGGGTGGATGGTGGATGGGGGGTGTGAGGGATAGGATATGTGCTAACTTGGGGGTTGTGTTGTAGGGGGATTATCGCGCACCTACCGCAGCCCGGCGAGGGTGTGACTCGGCCGGAGAAGGTGCTGGTGCAGGCGCAGGTGTCGGGGAACCTGATCGGCAAGTTGCAGGCTGGGGCCAGCGGGGAGGCGCCGTTTATGCAGAACGGGGTGAGTCTCTTATCTCTTTTTTCCTTTTTGTGGTAAACTCCAATATGTTCGTGTCACATGTCGGCGGGCTGACTGTCGTTGTAGGGTCTCCTCGAAGCCGAGCTCCAACGGGACCAGGAAATCGAGGCGACGGGGGAGAATCCGTGGAGGATTACCAAGTACAAGGTCATCAAGAAGTGGGACAAGGGCGACCCGAAGGTTTTTGATTTCGGGTCAAAAAACTAGAAAGATGGCTGTCATAGGTGTATGGAGCTGCGAATGGAAAAACAAATGCATGGTCTGGTATATTCCTGGGTATTCCTCGCCGTCATCAACACAGCCAAACTCAAAACAGCAAGCCAAAAAAGTATCATAAATCTCCCACCACACCCATCCCCTCATCTCCCCCCTCAAACACTACCACCCCTTGGACGGCCCTGCACCACTCCCATCCCCACTCATCTTCAAACTCTCCTCAATCGCCCTCCTCAACTCCTCATCCTCCTCCTCACCCCCGTCCGTCACCCCCTCCTCCGCCAAACTGGCCTCAGCCGCCTTCCCCTTCTCCGTCCCTACGCCGGACCCAACCCCTAAGCTAGTGCCCGTCCCCGCCCTCGACTTTCGATACTCGGCCTCGGCTAGGCTCTGGCGCTTGACATATTCCAGCACGATCTCCTCCTCGGTGCGCTGCCGTTCCGCCTCCTGCTCGCGGCTGCGGTGCTCGCGCTCCGACTCCTCCATCGCCAGCCGCAGCTGTTCTTCGTCGTCGTCGTTACCGTCGTTACGCCTCGTTTCCGCTTCGTTACTCTGGCGGGCGCTGCCGTCAGTGGTGGTAGTGGTGGTGGCGGCGGTGGTGGCGGGAGGGAAAAAGGGGATATAGCCTGGTAGTTCCGCCGCTGTGGGGAGTTCGAACTGGCCCTGCTCTGCTTGGGGTTGGGATTGGGATTCGCCAGGGTCGGCGAACCAATATTTCTGGTTTTGGTCCATCTCCTGCTGCTGTATGCTCTGCCGCACGGCCTCCTCAATCAGGGCCTGGTACTCCTCGTCCGAGATGTTGGTCCACTCCCTCGTCTGTCAACGCACCAGCCTCCGAGAGCGGCCGCGGCGGATGGCGGGGTTTGATCTTCTGGTCGGCAGATCCAGCCGCTGAAACTCGGGCACTTGACCGGTAGCCCCCCTGAGGCGGCGGCTGCTGCTCCATGGCTCTGCGCATCTCCATCACGCTCGCCCTGACCGCCGCCTCGACGCGCGCATCCTCCGCTTGATCGCCTGTCGAGGTCTGCACGACCGACTGCTGAATGGCTCGTTCCAGGGATTCACGGTCTTCGAAGGTGAAATTACTCGATGCGGAGCTGGCTGTGGTGGGCGGGAAGTAAGAGCTGCTCCCGGCAGCCGTGGGGGCCGTGGTGGCCGTGGTAGCCGTGGTGGCCGTGGTGGCCGTGGCGGCCGAGTTGCTGGTGGCGCTGCTCCCGGCCCGCCGTCTGTTCCACGGTCCCCTAGGCAAATTCAGCAGCCCAGATCTGGCCCCTTCACTGCCTCCCTCCCACAGCTGCTGCTGCTCCCCCGGCGCATCATCCACCGCCACCCCCTTCCCCTTCTCGCTCTCCCGCTGCTTCAGCAGATAAAACCCCTTCAGATCGTCCTTAATCGTCTGCCACCGCGCCAGCACATCCGCCCTCTCCTCAGCCGTCGCCGTGCCCCAGTCCTCCTCTCCCTGCAGCACCCGCGAGGTGATGATATAGTTCATCGAGCTCCGGGCAAACATACCCCTGACCTCTGCCCGGATCCCCTGGACAGTATACGCGGGGATGGCAAAGATGGCCCCGGCATTCTTCAGGAAAAAGCCGCCGATGCCCTTCCCAACCCCTTTCACAAACCCTTTACCGCCCTCTTTCTCGGCCCCCTTCCACGGCTGCGTGAAGAGTCCCGACGTACCATCGTAGAGGCCGAGGCCAAACTCTTTGCCGGCGATGCGCATGCCGCTGACGAGACCGGTGACCTTCTCCGGGGGGCGCACTGTGTCGTCGTTGTAGAGCTTGGGCGCGTTGCGGAAGCCGCGCGCCAGACCCATGCAGGTGTTGCCGTAGAACTTCATTCCGGCGCCCACAATGCGACCGACGCCCTTACCCGCTGCAATGGCGACGTCTAGGTTGGGCGTGGAAGCGGTTGGGGTTGACGCGGAGCCCGGTTCGGGGGTCGAGGTTGAGCGGGGAGGGGGGGCCGGGGAGGTGGCTGAGGTGGAAGGTCTGGGGGAGTGTGAGGTTCCAAGTGGATGCGAGGAGAGGGCGGTGCTTGGCCCGACTGCGGGGGACTGGATCGAGAGAGACTCAACTGAGTCATGAGCGATGGAAGGAGAGGTGATGCTAGGTGTCGCGGAGTGGGTGGGTGCGCGCCTCTGCGACGAGGAATCGGAACCCGACACTACATCGTCTGCTTTCGCCGACTCGTTTTTGCTATCATCGGCCTTCTCCTTGCCTTTCTTCCCCGTCTTGAAGACTTCCCGGGGAAAGTCTGCCATAGCCATGGTAAAGGCGCCAATATCGCCGATGAGTGCTGAAACGACGGCGGAGATAGGATCCCAGGGTTGCTCCTCGGTGTTGTACTCGATCGGACGGTATCTGTAACGGTTAGCCGTGCACCCCGATGGTCATGCGGAAGAACTTACAGCTTAAGATCTGTGTATTTCAACAAGCCCTGCTTCACCAAGGCCGCAGTGGCCAGCGCGCTCAGCCGGACCTTCGATCTCCTCACTCTCCAAACCGCCACGCGGCTTGGGGCCAACGAACACCTCATATTATCCGTGTTCAAAAACTGATGGAAGCTCTTCCCTCCAACGTCGGCGCCCTTCTCCTGCTTGATCTTCGCGCCCAGTTCCCGCGCTCGGGCCTGAGTCTGGGGCAGCACGGCGTGTTCGATAGCAGCCGCCAGAGTCTCAGCCGTCAGCTTCTTGTACGGGATAGGCGCGGGCCCGGCGCCGGCTTTCGCAACCATGGAGCCCCAGAATATCTGGTCGCCAAAAAACGGCACCACAACCGTCGGCCGGCCGGCCATGATGCCCGCAGCGGTGGTCCCGGCGCCGCCGTGGTGGACGACGGCCGACACATGCTTAAATAACCAGTCGTGAGGGCAGTTGCCAAGCATGAATACGCCCTCGGGGACACCAGCTGCATCTCCACCTATTCCACCCCAGCCTTTCGATACAATGGCTCTTACGCCAGATTTGAGGATGGCTTGGAAGATGGTCTGAGTGAGGCCGTCCGGGTCGTCGACGACGATGGACCCAAAGCCGATATAAACGGGTGGAGGCCCGGCTGCGAGGAAGGCGGCGAGTTCTGGATCTGGGGTGTAGTTTGATTCGAGGTTGAGGAAGTAGAAGCCGGATACGGTGATTTCGGGTGCCCAGTCAGCGGGCTTGGGTGTCAGGGCGGGTGACCAGCAATACGTGGCGGGAATCCGGAGGCGGTTGAGCAACCCCGGTGCCCACATTAACGAAAGACTTTCCAGCTCGAGGACGCTGACTCTAAACCGGTTGATTACGTCTCCGAGCCCCTGCCATGTCATCATCTCGACTAGGGCATATGAGACGTAGTTTGTGATGGCAGCGTCCGTGTCAGTGGCGACAACATCAGCCAGGGGGTGGGGGAAGGCTTTGGTCGGCGTCCAGGGCATTCTATTCCGGTTGTCAGGTCAGTTCCGACTCGTGAGGGTCGAGGAGAAACACTCACGTAAACATCATATGTAGTGGGATCCCCAGCTTTTCAGCAATATGGACGTGAGCAAAGCTCGGGGGGTTGGCAATGATGGCGTCTGCCACAAACGGGCGGACTCCCGGATCGCCGGGCAGCACAAACCGCTCGTCCAAGGGCTCATCCCTCCTGTGCTGTGGCGGCGCAACACCCATGCCATCACCGGCCTCGATACAAGACCGCCAGCACCCCACGAGGATTTGCTCAATTTCCAGGCGGCGCTTCTTGATGTCACCGCTCTTCAGGGTATCCAGGCCGGGCATCAGCCCCGGATTTTTGACCATGAAAGCCATCAGCTGGGCCGGGTCTCCGCCGATGTTGAAAAACTCTAGCCCGTTCTCCTCGACAAACGAGCGGAAATTGGCGTGGGTGGCCAGACGCACGCGGTGCCCGTATGTGTCGCGGAGGACTTGGCCTAGCGCAACGAAGGGCTGAACATCCCCTCGGGATCCCACGATTTGAATCACCACGTTTAGGCGGGGCGGCGGCGTCTGACCAGGTTGACCACCCAAACTCGGCGGGATGTATGCTGGTGAGGAGGAGGCCGGCAGGCTCAAGTGGCCTGAGAGGGTGAGGCTAGGAGCTCCGAGAGGCGATGGTTCTTTTCGTTGATATGGATATTTACACGACCCTCGGCTTGGGTTTTACGTCAGTATGCTAGGCAGAAAAAAAATCACAGGACGGCCTTGGCTCACTTGTAACAGCCGCATCAGCGTTGAAGCCGGCCTGGGAGAACTGCAACTGGTCATGGTGCTCGCCGTAAGCTGGGGGGGCAACGTCGAGATCCGCGTCTTCGAGGTCTTCGGCGATAGGAACTGCGTTGGTCCTCCCGGCCCGGTTCGCGCCCGTCACTCTTCGTTGGAGAGGTACCTGGGTCATATTGAGGAAGGTTTGGGTGTGACCCTAAAAGAGGGTTTCCGAGTCGGAAAATGGCCTCACGTCCCCCACTAGATTTAAAGAGGGATGCTTTTACGGAGGTTGAGTAAGTAAGATGTTGATGCCCTATCACGTAACTCAAGCTTCCATGATGCGCGTGTGGCGAGCAAGAAAAACTGAAACTCGGTGAATGCAGCCTGGTGAAATTTGACGCCAAATGTGTGTCGTCGTTAACGGGATGGCGGTGACTTGACTAGAAGTTCATTCGAGTGAGGTGAGATTCAATGTAAACGCGGGGCCTTGGCAAGTTATTGGGCGGATTGGATCACTTCTTGGGTGAAGGATTTGGTGCGCTCGTTGTGGAGGAGAGAGACACACAGAGAGGGGTTCGGCGTATTTGTGGAGGTAACCTGGAAGGCAGCAACTCAAACTACAATAGGAAAGCACGAAAGGCAGTCCGTGGTGTCATAGTTTGGATGCTATTGGTGAAACATCACAGCAACGGGAACGGATGCTTGAAATACTCTCCAGCGGACCATCGTCATGAGGATCCCTCCTGGTAAGCCTGGCTCAAGCTTGGTTTCCTGAGACAAGCTTCCTTGGGCTGATGGGCCAATCACCCAATGGCCGCAACAGTTTGTGGCGATGCCTGACCAAGGATTCAGGTCGATGTCGCTTGAATCGAACGCTTTATGGACACAGTGCACAGCCACCCCGATATTTCACCTGGAACCCCTGAGGTGATGCAAGCTACAGCGCCTAGAATCGCGCAGTCAGGACCTAATCTGCCTTAGCCTCCTCCCTGGGTTAGGTGTTGCGGAGCCGTGTTAATCGCTTTTCGTTGTCACACTGTATGCTGAGCCCCTGCTTGCGTCCCTTGACGCGCGTCTGACAGCATTGCTTGCTCCACAGAGCCCCGAGCCCGGCGGCTTGGTGTGCAACACGAGGGATACGGATAGCTACGAGCTATACGATTGGTATAACTAGGCAACAAACTCCCTGATCGTCGCTCCACTTTGTTCATGATATTGGATATTCACAGGCCGGACGATGGCGGGGTTATCCGTTGGCTTGGCAAGATAAAAAACGTGCCCCTTTTTCGCATTGATGACAGACGAGCTGGAAAAAAGAAAAAACGAAGTAAACGATTACACAAATCACACAGAAGCTCCCACAAGGCTTGCCTTACCGACCTCCTCGTTGGCCAACCCACATACCCACCTCGACACCCGGTTGCCGTCACTAGGACGTCCATTACTTCTTCTGCTCCTGCGGCGGCGGCGCACCACCAGTCGTGGGCAGACCCATAAAGATCTTGAAGTAGTCCTAGAGTAGCGGGTCAGCATCTCCATCCCAACGCGAAGGAACCTTGAACACAAAACTCACGTAGATCATCCACTGCAGACCAGTCAGGGTACCGATCATGACGATACGGACCGGCAGGCCGTTCCACAACCCCCGGAAGCCGATATCCTTGTATATCCTCGACGTGACCGTCCCGAAGCCCTCGCCCGCCTTCCGGTACGCGTTCAGCTTGCTGACCATGACGTCGGCTGGGTGCGAGACGACAGCACACAGGATGCCGGCGAGGTAGCCGCCCACGAACGAGACGCCCGTCTGCGCGCCCTTGCCGTAGTCGCTCTTGTTGCCCGGCAGGCGGTCGTAGATCATCTCGACAATGGTCTCGAACGACGCGAACTTCATCATGGTGTAGGGGATCTGCCGCGCCCACAGCGGGTACAGGCCCTTGTACAGCCCGCTGACGCCCTCGGCCGCCGCGATCTTGCTGAACCCGTCCAGCGTCCCCGTGTACTGCGCCGGGATCGTCGCCTGCATGCGCACCTTGACCGCCTCGAACGGGCACAGCGCGATGTCGGCCAGGAACTCGGCTGAGGCGGATGCTGATAGGTACAGCGCCGTCTTGTACTTGTACGCCGCCTCCGGACCGGCCATGTCCGAGTAGCTCTTCTTGAAGTATTCATACCACCCGTACTTGAAGGCGCCCTGCGCCGAGTAGCCGAAGAGGGTGGGGCTCCAGCCTGTGAAGATGCCACGAAGGCCCTCGGTGCGGAAGATGTGGCCCCACGCTTGGAAGTTGCCCCTGTACAGTTTCGAGTCGACCTGCCGGCGCACTTTGACGAGGTCGAGAGGAGTGACGGCCGCGTGGGTAAGGCCCTGCGCGCGGCGGGCATTAGCAGTGGCAGGGGCTCGGTTTGCTGTTCGTGGTCACTTACACAGGCCAGCAGGCCGCCAAACGTGCAGGCGGCATAGTACTTGCCCGAAAAGAGCTCGATGTGGCCCGCCTTGGCCTGCGCCTTTTGGCTCGCCGCCTCGAATTCCTTGGTGGCCTCGGCACTTAGCTTCTGCGCCTTGTTCTTCGCATCGTCGACCACCGAGTAGGCCGGATACAGTTCGAGGCGAGCTTGGTACGGCGTAGGGCCGCTTGAATTGGGCTTGGTCTGCAGCAGGCCACGCGAGTACGGGCTGCTACCAAAGGTATGTTGGAGCGTCTCGTAGTTTGGGAAGAGCGTCATCTTGTCGGATGTGATGTGCGCCAACTAGAGCCTTGTCAGTGTGACGTCCTGCCAGCCAATCGTGCCCAGCTTATTTCAGTCGTGGTGAGTGGAAGCAACCGCAATTGACTTCGAGGGGTATCGAGCGGCAGCTCAAAGATAGCTTGCGAACTCCCGGATCAAATTCTCCGGGAGTCCCGAGGGGATATGCGGCTGGGGTTAAAGTCACGGGTTTGTCCTACCTCGTCGATAACGGACCTTGGATTCAAGGCCACCTAATATTCAGTCTCTGGAAAACGGCAACAACAACGACAGCAAGTTCCAGGAACAGGAGCAGGAATGCAGAGTGAGGGAATAAGTCTTCGAGGTGAGATGAAACGGGTTCCTGCCATAACTAAACCAACCGATAAATTAGGTAAGCGTCTGATCAATGGCGTATTGCATCCCATCATTGAGCGTCACAACCGGGAATGGCTGGGGATGAATCCTGTCTCGCATTCCTTCGCGCCTTGTTACAGCGGGGTGTGCCGGCGACTTCTCCCGAGCTTCAATCTTGACCCCAGCTCGAGCAATGAGTCAGCCTTTGCCATTGATCAAAAATAATTAGAGTTGAGATAGTTGGCTACTTTTCTCCCTACATGATTATCTATTGCTTCCTTGCATCGATGTTTTCTCCCCGTAACCACCAGGTAGATTATCGGAGAATTCACATCACACGAGCAACCGGCCTCCATCTCGAACGGTGACGTAGCTGCGGCATTCCCTATCGTCGCTTATCGGAGACAGTCAAGTGGAGACGGATTGACAGACGGAGCCGGAATTAAGCGGAGATAGGTGTCCAACGTTTCCGGACCGATGTTTCGACCCATGACTGCTCGCAACTCCTTTCAATGGTTTGCAACTTCTGATTACGATGTTGGCGGGTTAGATGTGAGATGGGCCACTGGTAGCCGTGGATTATGCGTGTTATGTGTATCCTACTACCATACCTCAGGGAAACGGAAGCCAAGTGTAGATGCCGACCAAACATGATTATAGGAACAAGGGGAACATCGTTAAAAAGGTCAACCTGTCTTTTACTTAGTCGTTTTTTTTCCTCCTTTTTAATAAATCCTTTCTTCTGTTTAGTTTCCTTGACTCTCTTTCCTGTTCTTGTTTCTTGCTCCCCTTTTGAAGCTCGGTTTTTTTTTAAGCGCCTCAAGAGCGCCCTGGCAGAAGCATCCGAGAAAACTAAGGGCGATGGCCTTACTCGCTCTTAAGGCAGGGGGTTTCATACAGAGGTAATATTCCCTTCTTGAATTCAATCTGATATTGCTATCTTCACTTCCCGGGCTCTTGTATTATGTCATATAATTTGTAGGCTCTTTCCTCTGGTCAATGCGTCTAAACGGGACGGATTCAACGGTCGGTTTGGGAGGGAAGTCCATGAAACTTGGCAAAATAGCATGTGATTGGGTGTAGATACCAACGCCAAGGTGCGTCACCAAAGAGCGGATTTACAGGAGAATCACGTCAAACTTCAACCCACTCAGCCGTTTAGCGCACCAACCTACACCGCTACCAAACACAATTGACTAAACAACCACCCCTCGAATAAGCAATGGCCGACGTAATGGCGCAACCACCTCAAGCCCAGGCTGGCACCTCCCAGCCCTTCGTCTCGAAATGGGCGTCAAGGTACCGCGGGGTAAGTTCTCGCCCGGCGCATTCTGCACCATATTCCCATCCCACCCACCAGCACCACCAACTACACCTATTCCCCCCCCTCTCCCTCCCCTTCCCCCGCTTCTCTCCAACACGCACTAACCCCTCCCCTCCCCCCAACAACAGGCCACAGTCGAAGACCTCGACCCGCCCGCCGCCCTCTCGCTGACCCCCTCGGACCGCATCTCGGTCGCGCTCATGTCGGCCTTCGAGCGCGACTACACGCACCTGACCATCACTGACTCGTCGACGCGCGCCCTGCTGGGATACCTGTCAATCCCCCACCTGCAGGCGCTGCTGGACGCCGGCCGCGTGCGGCCCGAGGACGAGGTGCGCACCGCCATGGTCCGCTTCCGTCGCAAGGGGGCCAAGTACAGGGTCATTACGATGGAGACGCCGCTGGAGGAGCTGGAGGGGTTCTTTGAGGGGGTCGAGACGGGGGGGCAGAAGCAGGATTTTGCGGTGATTACCGATTCGGCGAGGAGGTTTGTCCTGGGGGTGGCGACCAGGGCGGATTTGGAGGAGTTTGTGAAGCGGCGGCCGGCTTGAGGTTGGGGGGTTGTGGTGCCGGGGTTGAGGTTGGGACTGGGAGAGGAGTGGGGGGGATTGAGAGTTGACTATCATCATTGACCGGCGTTGGGCTGTGCATTTAGTCGTTTGGGAAACGTGGGCTAGCAGTATCATCGGGGCATTCAACATGGACGAAGAACTCAGGAAGACAGGCGGACAATACCCAAGGCTGGATCGGAGGCTCAGAATCCTTCACCTCGGAGCTCACGCTGTAGTTAATTTTTCTCAACAATTCCAGAGGGGATACACGGAGCGGAAGACAGGGGGAATATTGTGTTTGGTTTTACGGATGCAATGCTATTGCTGCGATCTAGCGTGTACCTATGTGCAGTCGCGAGAAACACTCCTACTTCTAGGTGATGCGCCCGCCTCAATCCCCCCCTCTAGGAACGCGGTATCTCCGCACATGTACAATACAACAACACCCTCATCACCAACCCCTAACCCCTAACCCCTCCACCAGAAAACCATCCCACTCCTTACTCGCCGAGGTAGTCATAGACCAGCTTCAGCTCCACCCTCTCGGCCCCTTTCGCAATCACCACATGCCTCACATGGCGGCGCACGCCCTCCACAATCTGGAACCCCCAGATCTGCGTCGCCGTCCACCCATCCGTCATACTCTCCACATAGCTCAACACATGCAGCGCCCCCTCGGGGCCGGTCTTCTCCTCCTCGCCATCCAACCACCCCTCCTTCAAAAACGCATCCGTCACCTCCTCCGCTTTCACAAACTTAGTCTGGCCCTTCACGTGGCCAAACAGCCAGTCCTTGTGCTCGCGGAAGGCAAAGTCCAGGCAGCGCTTCTCGGTCGAGCCCTTCATGCCCGCCGTGCCTGTCTGCTCGATTTCGATGTGCGTGCACGACGTGACCCCCTCCGTCGGCTGCTCCGCCGGCGAGGGCGGGCCCTCGAACTGCTTGACCTCCAGCGTCAGGGTGGCCATGTTGACCAGCTTGCGCGTCATCCAGCTGATTCCTTGCAGGGCGAGGCCGGGGCCGACGTCGGAAGAGAGGGTTTTGTTCTGGGTGAAGGGGAGCCGGGTGAGTATTTGTTGTTAGATAAGAGGGTTGGGGGCGGGTGAGGATGGGAGGTGGGTTGAAATTGGTTTTTTTTCCTTTCTTTATTTCCCCTTGGGCATTGAGGGTGATGTGGTGATGTTGTTGGCGGGAATCGCCATCACATGTGGTGGGGGGGGTTTCGGGGGAAACTTACCATGGTCCACTTGCCATTGAGGTCGGCGATGGTCTTGGTTGTGGGAGCAGCCATGGTGGGTGGTTGTTGAGGCTGGGGTATTTAGGATTTAGGTAGGTAGGGTTGTACTATGGAATTGGGGTGCTAGGCTCTCGTTTTCTTTGTGAAGACGAGAGAAGCCGACGTTGGGTGGTTGGGTGGTTGCGTGAAGGGTAATGAAGAAGAGGTCAAGGGAAAGAGGGCAACTCATACAACCTTCTTTCCCACATCTTAAGTACCTTGCCTACCTCCTTGACGGTACCCACGTCGCTCGAAGCCTGCATGCCATGGTGGGGAACAATCGCTGTCACAAGATTGGGGGAGTTCAAATCTCCAAGTTACACACACACGACTGGGACTCGGCGGCCGAGGTAAAACGGGCTGCTTGGATGATGGCATAAGCGGGATGCCGTTCCGGGGGGTCCCAGGGCAGCGTGGGAGCGGGAACGGGCACCATTTTCAGCAAGCGACTGGTGATCCAAGCATGACACGGTAACCTCGAGGCTGGGGAAAGTTTGCGGGGGGGGATGTGCCCCTCTCTTGGCTGGCATCGTGTTGGAATTTGATTCTCCGGGTTCCATTTGACATCCATGGGAGTGCCCGAGAAACCCGGCTTCCATCTGCAGGTACCAACCAAACTACAGCTCAGACCTTTCGGGTTAGCAAAGTTGCGTAGACAATTCCGGACAACAGAGCTCAAGACGAACAACCTATTTTCACCAAAGTGAGACTGTGGCCCAGAATCGGGGTTGGGGGCTGCCAGATGGCCGCTGAGTTAGCGGGACTTTTAGTGCGGGGTTTAGACTAAAATTGCAAGACCTGCACTCCCTGCTCCCAAAACCACTTGTGCCCGAGGCTGCCATGTGAAAATGGGAGTCAGCAACAAACGCGCAGAGGCGGTCCCCCAACGCTTGGTAGCGAAGTTTGGAGCATCTCAAACCAGGGAATCGATGTTCGCACCCGGCATATTTTAGTTTCGGTTTTGCAACCCCGACCGCCTTGGCAGCGCATGTGAACAACTGGCTCCTCACGATTGCTGTGGCGTGCAGCACTGCATGGCATCTTGTTGAAGGAAGCGCTTCGTCATAATATTATTAGTTGAAATAGGATATCCTAGTATTACATCTCTCTCCGCGTAATCCGGAGGTTTTAATTCACATTAGTCCCTTCCCCAACCCCCGCATCATCATGACTCGGCGTTTTGTCCGCCCCGCCGAGCAACTCCTCCCGAAACCGATCACCATCAAACTTCTATCTACCCCGCCGATAAAGGCTCATCAAGGCCACCACTTCATCTTCTTGTAGCTCTCAATTACCTCCTCCACCAGCTCCTTGGTGATCTTGGGCTTCTCGTACGAGAATCCGACAACCTCCTCTAACCTCGACCCGTCCATGCTGAGGTCTGTGTCCTTAAGCAACTCCCTCTCCATGAATGGCGTCAGCGGCCCGGGTCGTGTGATGCCAGCCTCCGCAAGCAGATCGGCCCACGGACCCAGCAACTCGTCATTCACGTCATCCACGACGCTGTCCAGGTTAAGCTTGGCAAAGGTGCTGATGAGTTGCCCCTGGAAGCCCGTCTCGATGCCGAATACCTGGCCGATGATATCGGCCATGGCGCCCTGTGTGGTGGCGCCCTTGTCAACCACGTTGAACGTCGGGACCGGGTTGCCCATCGTCTTGGCGTCCCACTTGTCCTTGCCGGCGACATACCAGCCGGCGACTGCCCAGAGCGCGCGCACCGCGTCGTGGATGTGCGCCGTGTTTGTGCGCAGGTCCTTTGTCCACAGCCACTTCATCTCGGACTCGAGCGCCTTGTACACCCGCGCCATGCACAGCGCGGTTGCGACCCACTGCGACGCATAGGGGCCATAGATGTGCGGCAGCCGTACGACGGCGAGGTTTAACCTGGGGGATCACTCGTGTCAGTATGGCCAGAGTCAGATACCTCGACCCTCATCCTTCATCCAGCTGAGAACGTACCCCTCAATTTTTGCTAGCTCCTCTTCCGCTTGCAGCTTGAAGACGGCGATTTTGCTCCACGGTTTTAACTTGTCGTTCTCCTTGCTCGGGACAGAGTCCGGCTTGTAGACCATCCCCGTGCTCAGCTCGACGAAGCACTTGACGCCTCGCTTAGCCGCCTCCCGGCCCACCGTGAGCGAGAGGTTGAGCGACCGCAGCTTGTACACCTCATCCTCTTGCGAGTAGCGAGTCTCGCCGCCGCAGTTGAAGACATAGTCCCACGTTTTCCCGTCGGCGCGGTCGAATATCCTGGGAAGGGATTCTGCGGCATAAAAACACCCTCGTTAGCGGACAAAAAGAGGAATCTCGACGGGGGTGGGTCTCAGGTCTTGACCCCTCGTAGCAAAACTCACGTTCTCTGCTGGCATCAGCCTGCACAAACTTGGGCCCGGCGCAAGCCTCCTCAAAGTCGGGCGGCAGCCATGCCAACTGCGGGAGCACCTTGTCGACGATGCGCACTTCGGACGCGAGGTTGTTCTCGTGGATGTGGAGGGCCAGGAACCGGCCAATGTAGCCGAGCCCGCCGATGATCAACACCGACGGTTTCTCCGCCATGGTGACTTTACTCGAGGGGATTTAAGGTAACGTGGGTGGGGGGTCTGGTGGTTTCTAGGGCTCGCTCCGGCTGGTTGAAGGCGAGTTGGGAGGAGGGGCGTGTTTAACTAAAATCCAGGGGCAGTTGAGCGCGGGGTCGCAAGATTTTGAAGATGGGACTCGGCTGTCTCTCGGTATGTGTCCAGTCGTCGCGGGCGTTTGCTTCGAAAACCACAGTCAATGGGGGGGCAGCTAAGATCGTAAACTCGTGGAAATGATCTTCGGTTTGTGGGAGCGTGGTTCAAATTGCCCGGTCTTATGAATGTTGGGGGACAAAAAAATGATAGCTGACAGGAATGACCTGGGAGGGAAAGGGTGGGCGGGACTTCGGCAGGCTTCGAGAAGCTCGGCAACCCAAGGGCAGGGCACGAACAGGGCAGGAAAAGAAAACCTGGAGCGAGGGGGTGATGCCCAAACAGGACCCTCGCAAGACCCTCACAAAACCCTCGCAAACCCTCCTCCACTTGGAACTGTCCCAGCCGCGAGAACCGGGCGAATGGATCGAGTTAGGTTAAAATTTCCTTAAGCTTTCTTTTCCTCTTTTCCTCTTTTCCCACCTTACACACTGCACGCTGCATGCTGCCCACAACTCCATTCTCGCGATCTTGTTTTATTACTGCACAGTGTAAAATGCCTTTCCCCCCCTTGTGGTACATACATCATCTGACGCATTGGGCAGTTCAAGGGCAGGAGGTGCCCCCCGTGGTTTGCACTTGCAGGCTGCCAAGGTGCTGCAGGTTTCCGCCGATGGCCTGCAAGTTCCTGCAGGTGGAGCTTTTGGGCGAAACCCTCCATTCTCCAACAAATTGACGATCGGCTTCTTTGGTCCATTTTTTTCTGTTGTTGTCTTTTTTCTGTCGGGCACTTTTTGATTATTGCATTGATTGGGCAGATGACATGCCCGAGTATTGGATATTGGATGATGACTTTTCAGGGTCCAACCCTCCAAACAGCCCCCTCTTCGTCCGAACTGGCGAGCTGTCGCAACCGAGAAGCCTCTGTGAACTAGGATCCCAGGCATCAGGGCATCTCGTGTCTGGCCTCTCCTTTCGGCCGCACGGCCCAAACATCAGCCTCCCAGTCAGCCAGCAGGACTTGGACCAGGGGCAAGGTTCAGCGCCTCCAGGAACCTCGTCGTCCCCTAAAGAGGCGACCAATCGGGAAGGCCTGAACAAACGCCTCCAGCGCCCCCAGATGACGACCGGACGCCCAGTGTGAAGATCGTGATGCTGCAACGGCAGCCACCGTGCCACCCACGGCCGGCTATCTCGTTCCAGGAGGATGGCACTGCACCTGAGACATGTCGATACGGCAGCGAGCCGAAACATTGGCGACGCGAGCAGGTTCCACCGCCAACGCCGGGCCTGGCCCACCCGGTGCGCAAGATGACGGACGGGACGGGATTCATTAATCACCCGCTATGTTGACGTGATGGAAGCCGCTGTCGGTGCCCGCGCACCAAAAGATGGCCTCGTCCCAAAACCAAAGCAAGCTGCGGGAGAGAGGTCTGTGCTGTTCCGCCCGTTTGCACTTCTTGGTTCGGGGATGTCGGTTTTGCCTTCTTACCGATAGACCCCTGCTCGAGGTCGCGAAGCTTTCCTCTGCCCGTCTCGCCTGTTCGAACCTGTTTACCGGTCTTGTCCCGTTTGCAACCGGAGCTGGCCAGCCCGTGATTGGGGCTTCACAGTGGTCGTCGAATCTCGGAGTTGTCGCCGCCAAAGCAAGGAGTTGACCCGGAAGGAAGTCCCGCCAGGGGTGGTCACACACAGGAGTGACAGTCACGACAGGGTCTCCCCAAACCCGGAAAGATGTCAGCAGACGGGACGCCAAGAATGGAACCGGTCAGGGGCATCAACCCCCACCTCACCATCCCGGGCCGCTCTCGGTGAGCCGGGAAGCCACGGGCGAACTTTTCTAGAAGATTTCCAAGCTCGGCATGCAGCGAACCAGGTTCGGCTCCCCTTCCGGTTCCACGGCGGGTTTCTGAACCGACGGGGTCGCCGGCAACTCAAACAAGGGCTCAAAAGGTTAACTAACGGTCAGAATCTGGCCCGGTGACAAACGACAATATCAGATTCCCGAAGACGCCACATCAACCGTTCAATTTCCAAGCGTCAGGTCTCAAGCCAAGCTCCCTACAAGCGGGTTCACCTAGCAGATTGCTCCATGTCTTGGCCGCGCCGTTTGCGTCATTCCCCCATCAACACCAATCGAGCGCTTCGCCAGCTCAGCGAGACAGGCCCAATTCGGTTCGGAAACCAGTCCCCTTTTACTCGCAGGTTCTGGCGCGGAGGCGCAGAAGGCTAACCGGCGCGGCACTCTCCGCCCTCCGCGGTGGCAAATAAGCCTTTCTTGGATGTCAGGATCGGCGCTTGAAAAAGCAACGTTGTCTGCCTACTTTTCTTATCCAAGGACGGCCGGCACTTTTACCGATAATCTCGGGAAGAAGCTGTCTGTGGGCTCGTGGAGTTACTCCGTAACGAAAACTTGGTGGAATTGTGGGAGGACTAACCTTGAAGGGCAGCGGAGTTGGGGTTCTCAAGCCGATGCAACGGATACTCTGTACCCGGAACGCCACAAGTACCTAGTAACCGACGCTTGAAAGATGAAGTAAGTATTCGTAGGTACAGTAGAAACCGAGTGTTTGTTGGTGTTCAAGGGGCGCGGCGATACTGAAAGGGTAGTTAACACCCACCATCTCCCGAGGTGAGGTTTGAGTTTGCCGAGATGCGGGTCAGGGACGATCCAGATCTTCCCGCGCCTCCATGACGCACGCATCTGTCCAGATTAAGGAGACGGACACTCTTGAAACGGGCCCACTGATTCTTCTCCGTCGCACGGTCCTGAGTAATTTCACGGCAAAAGCAGTTTGCTTCGGGTTCCAGAGCGTGGGGGGCAAATTGAGACCGTAATCTCGGCCCCAAGGAGGCCTAGTATTCATTTGATATCATGCGTCAAAACTAACTCGTTTACTGTCGTCACTCTCGTCTCCGCATACCCCCAATTATCTCGCGCTGGGTCTCGCGGTCCCGCTGGCCCTCGCTCAGACTCCCGATGCTGCGCAGGTCGCCGACCACGTCCTTGGCCTTGCCGAAGTAGACCTCCTGCAGCAGGTTGCGCATCTTGAGCTCCATGTCCTCGACGAGCCGGCCGATGTTGGCGATGTGGCTCTCGTCGTTGTCCACCGGCAGGTCCTGCTCGACCTGCCGCGTCATGTTGCCGCTCAGGTCCACCTCGCCCAGCGCCGCCCCCTTGGTCGCCAGCGTCAGGATCACCGTCGACGTCAGCCGGTAGTTGGACGTGCGCCCGCGCTCGCTGGCTTCGAAGACGTGGATCGAGTCCCACACGCCCGATGAGGCGCCGTCGTTTTGGGGGGAGGCTGTGGAACCGAGAGAAGGGCAATTCGTCAGCTTCTGGATCTGTGATTTGTAGATATGGGGAGTGTGTGTGTGTGTGTGTGGGTGTGTGTCTCTGTATCCTTCACTCACCCTTCTTCAACAGCACCACGCCGGCAAACCCATCATCCAAATTCCATAGATACACCGAGCTCACGCCACCCTCGTAGTACAAATCCCGGTAGATATCAAAAGCCTCGTTGGCCTTGACCTCCATCTTGCGGACGCGCTCGCCGGGGACGGCGCCCTCGCCGGCGCCCTCATTGCTGCCGCCGGGCCCCACGCCGCCCGCGCCGCCCTCGTCCAGCGGCGGGTCGAACTGGTTGCTCCACGGCGACCGGTAGCTGTCGCCGTCACGGTTGTAGTCGCACAGCAGGTAGTCCCGCCCCGTCTGCTTGCACCGCTGGATCGTCAGCGGTTGGTCCACCGACGAGAGGAGGTCCTCGGTCAGGTCGGGCGCTAGCGCGATAAGGTTGTTCAGGTGCTCGCCGGTTTGCTTCGGGTTGAGTCGCCGGAGGAGGTCGCTGTCGCCGGGAGGGGGTTGGGGAGTTAGTTACCCAAGTGGTGGAGGAGGTTTGGGGGTTGGTTTGGTTGGGTAATGGATGGTGCGTGGGATGGACTACTTACAGCGCCGAATCGAATGGGTCTGCAGTCGCCATCTTGTCGGGGGATGTTTGGTGTGTCTGCGGTTGAGCCCGGGCGAAGTTGGTAGATGTTGTGGTCTTGGGCTCGAATATCTTATGGCTTGCGGTCTGGCGTCGCGGGGTGTTCCAAGGGGAATGGCGGGGCCACCTTCCAAAAGGCTCGTGCACCTTCAGGGGCAGTGACAAGGATCTGGATGCCCTGTGGCCCGCCCTGTGGCAGAGCGGTGGGGCCAAGGAACGACCTGTCCATTCCGCTGCTTGTCAGAGAGCTCACTCGCCTTCAAACTTATCAACCTCCATTGGCACTGTCAACACCAATTTTGTTAACAACAGGTGGTTGACAGTCCTGTTGATGGTTGAGTATTCGTTGATAGAATACACTATGGCACCCTCGAAGAATGCGCAGTCAACATCTGCCAAAAATCATAAGAGTGAAGCTTCAGGAACGCGACTCTTAGGTAATGATTTATTGATTTATTTACTTGCTCTTCAATTTCATCAATTAAATCACTAATGAAAGCCTAGATATCCTTTTGTATCTCTCAATACCCGGACTTATTTTGCTACACCTCGTCGTCGCCCCTTACACCAAAGTTGAGGAATCCTTCAACATCCAAGCAGCTCATGATGTGCTTGTTTACGGGGTGCCAACATCCGATGTCTATAACAAGCTCTCTAGCACCTACGACCACTTCACCTTTCCAGGGGCTGTCCCACGGACTTTCATAGGCCCAGTGTTGCTAGCCGGCTTTGCCCAACCAATTGTTGCCCTGGTTGGATTTCAACATGCCCAGCTAGTCGTAAGAGCTATCCTCGGCCTATTCAACGCCGCTTGCCTGCTCGTCTTTGCCCGGAATCTTGGGCGAGCATACGGTGCCGGGGTAGCGAGATGGTACCTCCTCCTCCAGGCCAGCCAGTTTCACGTCATCTTCTACGCCTCCCGTACGCTGCCAAACATGTTTGCTTTTGGCCTAAGTACGCGCCCCCCCACCCACTACCCATCCAGCTCCCCCATCACCGCACCGGCTAAGCCTCCCTTGTCTAGAAACACTCGCCTTCTCGATCCTCCTCCCAAACCCCCTCAACCCCAAATCCACCCCACGCCGCCAACGCCTCTCCATCACCACCCTCGTCTTCGCCGCCGTAATTTTCCGCTCCGAAGTCGCCCTCCTCCTCTTCACCACCGTCCTCCACCAGCTCCTCCAACCCACCCTCTCCCTCTCCCGCGCCATCCGCCCCTTCACCATCTCCATCCTCGCCGCGCTCACCATCTCCCTCCCCATCGACACCTACTTCTGGCAGCACCGCGGGCCCTTACCCCTCTGGCCCGAACTCACCGGCTTCCTCTACAACGTCATCCACGGCGGCGCCTCCGCCTGGGGCACCGCCCCCTGGCACTGGTACTTCACCTCGGCCCTGCCCCGCCTGCTCCTCAACCCGGCCACGCCCCTCCTCCTCCTCCCCCTCGCCCTCACCCACCCAGCCCTCCGCCGCGCCGCCCGCCCCCTTACCCTGCCCACAACCCTCTTCATCGCCATCTACTCCTGCCAGCCCCACAAGGAAACCCGCTTCATCCTGTACGCCGCGCCCCCGCTCACCGCCGCGGCCGCCCTCGCCGCCGCGCACCTCTTTCGTCGCCGCACGGGCAAGGGCCTGGTCCCGGCGCTGCTGGCGGCGGGGTTGTTGCTCTCGGTGGTGGCGTCGTGGGCCGCGAGCTCGGCGATGCTGGCCGTGTCGGCGCTGAATTACCCGGGCGGGGAGGCCCTTGCTTATGTGCGCGGTGTTGCCGGTGGTGGTACTGGTGGGGGTGCGGTGGTGCCGGTGCATGCGGATGTGCTGGCGTGCATGACGGGGGTGACGCTGTTTGGGACGGGGACGCGGACGGGGTCGGGTGGGGTGGCGAGGTGTTGCGGGTTCGGTTTCTTCTTCGTCTCCCGCGTCAGGGGCAGGGAGTGGAAAGGGGAGTGGGATTGTCAAGGTCAAGCAGCAGGACCAGGGCCAGGACGGGGTGCGGATTGTGGTGGACAAGACGGAGGACGACGCCGTGTTGGCGAGCGCCGATTTCTGGAGCCGGTTCGATTACGTGCTGGTAGAGGACCGGAGCAAGGTTGTTGGCGGGGAGTGGGAAACCGTCGGGGTGGTCAAGGGGTATGGAGGGATTGAGGTTGTCAAGCGGGGGAGTGGGCGGGGTGATGATAGAACCGAGAAAGGAGCGCCGCGGGTCGTGGGCCTGGGAGAGACAGTTGCTCTTTGGAAGAGGACGGTTAGGGATTTGACCGGAGGATGGTGGATTGGTCCGAGAATGGTGGAGAGGATATTTATCCTGAGGAGGGTCAAGGAGGCACCGACAACGCAGGCGGTCGTCGAGGCGAACTAGACCGGAATCCTTGTAAGCTTGTTTCGTTTTACACTCTCGCATAGCTAGCCTTCTGTAAATTAGGATTCACTTCCAGGGCGCACTGTTACCCGATCTTCTGTTTTCGCATTACACAAGGTTATCATGCGGGACTCGTTGTGCAAATCAACCAACATTCCCCCATTATATTAACGTAGACTACGAACTGCCTCCGCTCCGGAGGGTATCTACCAGTGGCAAAACCGCAACGAAGCCATAGGCGTCCAAGGAGCATTAGGGCCGTGAGGAACATAAGCTATGTGGAGATGTGAGAGGCGAGGGGCGAAGAACGTGGAGCGGGTCGCGTACGCCAGCTTTGCCTTTCAAGCTGCGAAGACCACCGTGATATGTCGATAGCCCGTTTTTTCCAGAGCCATTCGCGTCCATTCCCGTCTGTTCCTCACCCAGGCCTGGTCACCCTCTATACACGATCTCTCCACCCGGAGCTAGCATTTCGATTTCTCAAATTGCCAAATCGGGGGGGTTAACCGTGACGCGCTCCTCCCAGTAAATGCAATGTGTCCGCCGATGGTAGCAATCGCAAGCAATAAATGCCTAGAAAGGGCATTCAAGAAACCTAGGTCACAATGGCCAAAGGAGTGAAATCCGATCTCGTCGCTGCCCATCTCGGGCTCTGAGTTCGCCGAGATCGTCGCCTTGTTCCAGTTTTGACGTTTTGTCCGTACAGTTATCGCCGCTTCTGGCAATCGATGGATGTATTACTTGTTCCGGGGCCCAAGAGGCGCCCGTATCGTTTCTGTGGGGTTTCGTGTTTGACCCATTCGCCCGCGCGTGCTATCGTATAGCACCATTTGTCCCCAACCCCAGCCTGCGGCTCGGCTGTGTGGTGTCTGGTTGGTCTTTGGGCCCGGTATTGTCTGCAACATCACCAAGGTAATGTATCGCGGAGCGTAGCGCACCGTGGTATTACCAACAACTCAGACGCTTTGGGGATACAACCCGGCAGGCTACAAAATTGTTAGTTCCGTTTACCCTCGGCGTCCTGCGTGGGGGTTGGGAGACATACCGGGCTGTTGAGCATTTGGGCGCGTTTGTTCCTGCCCTTTTTGATATGATTCTTGAGAGCGTTCGAATCCAGTGGCTTAAGTAGCTCGAAGCTGCACAGGAGCTCGGTAGAGACCGACATGACAGCACCCCAGTTATCAAATTCTCCGCAGTACTGGAATTGTTAGTCGCAATAGCCTTGGGGGATGATGGTTAGGGTCGATACTCACATTCGGCGCGCTGAATACGGTGACCAGGACCCGATCAGTAAAGAATTCGTAGCCGTCCTCAACCACCATGTGGGCTCGGCACACGAGGTCGAAATCGTTGGCAGCGAGGAAATCGGTGATAACCTTCTTTCCAAAGCAGTAGCTGACGCCCCGTTCGTTGGCCTCCCAGTCCTGCTCCATGTCGGCGGGATCGGACCAAAGTAGGTCGTTTAAAAGCCCGTAATCGGGGACATCTGTCGGGCGCGCAATGTTGCGGATGTCATCCATGTGACCGAGAGCTGGCGACAATCCCCCGTGAACGCAGAAGATCTTGGCGGCGACGATAGCAGCGATGGGGAGACAGTTAAAGGTGTCGATGAAGGTCTTCCAGACCTTGACGTTGCACCTCCGCTTGCATTCATCGTAGAAACCGTAGACGCGCGTGACGTTAGCGCACTCGTGGTTGCCACGCAAGAGAAAAAAGTTCTCGGGGTACTTGAGCTTATAGCAGAACAGGAGCAGGATGGTCTCGAGAGACTGCTTGCCGCGATCCACGTAATCGCCAAGGAACAGGTAGTTTGCCTTGGGAGGAAAGCCGCACATCTCAAACATGCGGATGAGGTCTGTGTACTGGCCGTGGACGTCCCCAACAATCTTGACTGGGGCGTCCAGTTCCAAAAGAGCCGGTTGCGAGAGGAGGACCTCTCTGGTGCGGTGGCAGATGGCGGCGATCTCGGCGTTCTTGAGGCAGACGCTCTTGGTGACCTTGCCGGCATAAGCGGCATCAAGCAGGCGCTTGATGAAATCATCGAGGTCGATATCCTTAATGTCACTCATGGCAACACCCGCAGCAGTTTCGTCCTTGGGAGATTCCTGTCCAGCGATGTTCAAGATGGGGTTGGGCGCATCCTCGCGCTTGACGAGGATACTCTGGCCTGGCTGTTGCATGCCCAAGTCAGCGTTGGCAGCACCCGAGGGCGGCTGGTCCGAGACTTGATCTACCTCTCCGCTGGCCTGAGCGGCGGAGACATCGTGAATTCCAGCCTTCATGGACGCCGACTGGATAGGAGACGGCGGGGGGACCTCTTCGGCAAGCGGAGAGCCCACTGTGGCGGTGTCGATAGAGGAAGGCGAACCCGGCGAGGGGAGCGAGCTGGAACGGTTGGATCGGCCGTGCGGCGACCTACCGCTCTTCCCGGACTTGACGGAACCCACATCTGATTTATCGGGCGTATCGCCATTCGTTAGTATGGCAGAGCTCCTGGGGCTGTCGGTCTTGCCTGAGCCGGGAATCTTGGATCGCAGCGAGCGGAACGACCGGGACGAGTCTCTCGTGTCGGACCTGCTGAAGGAGGGGTACGATTGCAGCGCGTCGTCGCCATTGCCCGACGCCTTAGCAGATGCCGCGCCGGAATCCTTGGAGGTTTGGTTGCCCATAGTTTCTCGATGTCAGAGTTTGTAACTCTGATATGGAGAAGTCAACGGGATGGACGGCGTGCGCGTGTCAGGTTTGTGGTACCGGCTGGGTCGCCTTTGAATACCAACACAGCCTACCGCTGCACCCGTCTCTGAGTTGTTGTCTTTCTTTCGTGTCCCCCAGGTCCTAGGGAGGATGATAAAAGTGGTCGAGGTCGAAGAGTAGGGTGGCGGCGGTGGAAGACCAGCGACCCGGTGAGTGTTCCGTTTTCAAAGATCCGCGAGCGCGCGCGGGGGAACGTTAGGTTATTGTTGGGGTTATCAACGCCGGGGCGCCGCGTACGCTGGTCGGAAATAACGGGCGGACAAAGGTCGATGCAAAAGCGGGAGTCGGGGCTGTTGTAGGCCGGCGCGCGATAGACTCCACGAGAGTCGGTGATGTCAGCCTCGCGAACAGAATCGGTGAACGGAACAGCAAAACGGCGACGAGCGCAATGAAGGTAACAAAAACCCCGTGGCAATGAAAGCCAATGGATGATACCGAAGAAGAGCGCGAAACGAGAAAAATGTGGGGATTGCACCGAAGACGATGCCGTGGGAAAAAAACAGACCTGCTTGCTTTGCGTGCGGTTCGGCTGATAAGGGAGTGACCCAGAGCTCTCACGCCAAGGCTAAAGGAGGAGCTTGGTGCCGGGGGAATGAATGCCTCGAGTCGGTCGGCCGGTCGGTTCCCGTCGTCAAATGGAAGAGGTGACGGTCGGGGTAGTCCGGGTAGTGGGAGAGAGAAAGAAGCAGGTCGGCGAGTGATAAAGTAGACGCGCGGTTCGCCGTCGCTGCAGAATCGCCACTGCTGGAGTTCGATTGATAGGGGGTTTGGTCGCCACGGCCGGGTGTGCCGGTCGGTGTCAAGAAAGATATGCGACCCGAGTTCAGACGGAAAATAGATAAAACCGAGGGTCTAAGGGTCCAAGGGGTCCGCAAACAGCAGGAGACAGGATGGGTCAGGCAGATGAGGTTGATTGGCAAGCGTCAACTTGCGTCAACGATTTTTTTTTGGTGAGTCTGGGGAAAATCGGGCTGCCGTCGTCATCGGCTGCGGGATGAACGAAGGGTTGGCGGGGCCTTCTGATACACGCGCTTGTCCGAACTCCTAGGTTGGTTGACCAGGGGTCCAACTCCAAGTCGGGTTCTATTCAGCAAAAGTGGCGGCGAGAAGCAGCAAGAATTGGCGGCAGCAAGGTGCAAGATGCGATGCCTGGTGATGGATGGCTACTACCTCTGAAGGCTTCTTGACACACTTAAGAAGATGCAACGTCAAAAGACGGCAGGTGCTTCCTTTCGACAATCGGTGGACTTGGTTGGCAGCACGTGCCTCTTCTCCTGCTGGAGTCGAGGCGGTTGCCCACTGCACGGCACTCTTCTTGGCTAGCGCGCCCCGCACTCCAGCGTGCCTTGCACCTCACCTTGCGGAGCTTGCAGCGGCCAGAGCGGTCCATCCACGGACCAACAACAAGCACCAAACGATAGGGAAAACGTCGATTTGGATCTGAAACTCACGACCTACACGGCAGGTGGAAAGGTGGCAGGTGGCATCAAGGATGCCAATGTCCCGCAGAAAGGCGAAAATACACCAACTCAAAAGAGAGTGAAACAGAATGGTGGGAGTGTCCCATCTCTCGGGCCTTGCCCTGCCTTGGCTGCGCCGGGTGAGACAGGAGCCGTCTTGGTCCTGCTGTGGACATTGAAGCGAAGCTGTCAATTCCCCGGGATACGGTCTCCCCAATCGCCTCCAATATTCTAGACCCATCGTCCGGTATCACAAACATCAGCTTTGACGAGAGGCTCGACTACGAATTTAGGCGAGTTTCGACAACAAGTGGACGCAAAGAGAATAAGATATGGTGACATTTTGATCGGATAGCACACTTGAGCAAGTCGACGGGCACGGAAGGCTGCCGATGGGGTGCGTCGCAATGCAACGCCCCGGGAGCAGAGCTCTTCACCGGGGGGTGGGGTCAAGACTACCTAAGGGCTGCCCGAGCCGCCAGGGATTGTCAGACGTGCCAGCTTGTGTGACTTTTCTACCCTGGCTTGCCTCCCCACGACGGCGCATGTTGTTTGACCACATGACCGCCTCCAAGGCCAGCTCTAGGGGAGCGGTGTGTGTGGGACAGACAGGATCAGTGATGAAAGAAAGAAATTTCTCCACGAGCGTTGATGATTCGATCTGCATCCCCAGGCGATGGTCTTGGTTCCGAATTTACGCATGCCACAGCTGCAGCCCGCTGGGGGTCAGTGGGGGAGCCAGACAGCCAACTCGCCGCATTGCAGGATTGATCGCATTGATCGAATTGATCGAACCCGCATCCCACGCTGAATGCTGATTCGGGTTGGCTCGGGCTGGCTCGGACTGCCGAACAACATTCCGCCAGCGCATCCCGAAAACAGTGGTGATTCCGGCTTCGTGGCTCGAAAAATGCCGTCGCGGTTCATGGACGGAACCAAACAGTCTCAAGTCGTGTCTTTTGTCTGCCCCTTTTTTTATTTTTTTATTCTCTTTTCCTACTATATTTTACAGGTTCCAACAGAATAAAGCCTAGGCCGCCGTTGTTTCGACTTTTGTTTGGTAAGAAGGCAGGGGCGGCCGACCGGCCTGCTCGACCTTGGCCCGGCCACGATTCTCGGTGACCGGGTCCGGAGCCGGAGCCCGGCCTCACGGATGCGGATCATGGTGGGTTTCGTGGAGGCCGAGTCTTGGCGATGCCGCCCACCGCCCCCCGAACGAATCTCCTGGTGCCCACAGTTCGGTAAACGTGGGAAAGGCGGATTTCCAAATATAGAAATTTCTGCCCTCTGGCACCAACAAGTCACCAACAGCCCAAACGTGGCCCAGCCACCACAATGCATGGCCAGCCACAAAGCACCAACCGCATCCACCCGCAGCATGCAAGGGCTGGCTGAGGAATCCACAGTGCTTGGTGGTGCGATCACGTTGAAATTGCAATGCCACCAAAGATTCCACGGCAGCTTAGCAGCTTAGGTTGTTGGGTCCGAGACACGACGCGTCGTTTTGGGAGAGTGGAATAACTAGCGGGTTTTGGCTTCGTATTGACGCGGCTGTCTCAAGCGTGGTTTATCATCTGAGAATCAAAAAGTGAGCTCTGGTGAGGCTCAGCGTTGGGCGCTGTCGTCAGCACGCCACTTCGAAAAGAAGCCATGAGATAACCCCGCTCGGCCAAGCAACGCCATCGACGCCAATCGCCAGGCTTTCCAGAGAGGGAGCTGTGCTGGTTGTCTGGGTGGGCTGGTGGGCTCGGTGGGTTCTGCTCCCGCAAGTTTGCCTGCGCTCACTCATGCAACCCCGCGAGCCCCGCAACAGCCCGACCGTGCAAGTCGTGCTCGCACTGCTCGGAAACAAAGACGCGTGGTCCCTGTGGCTGCAGCTCCAAGCTCAACCTCACATGGTGGGGTGTCGTAGACTTCAACGCCAATGAAAGGACAAAAATGGTGTTTTGCGAAAAAGATCAACCCGGCTTCACTTCTGGATCTGCGCCAACGCAGGAACCTGCGGGTTTGATCTGGCTCAAACCAGGGAAAGTTGACCCGAAACTCTCGGGCGAAAGCCATCATCCACTTCGTCCGAAGAAACCAGATGGGGTTTCTAGGGTGTTTCGTGGTCTTTGCATCATCAAAAGATGGCGACTGTGCAGGACGCAGGAAGACGACCCAACCCACCTTGGTCGAACCAACGGCTCACCGACCTAGCCAGCAGGATGGAAGCTGGGTGGTCGGGTCTTTGCAATCAACAATCAACATGGAGCCAGCGACGCGAAAAGACCAAGGCAGCCATGCAGCACCTCAGTGCTCCTGCCGTCGATCTGTAATCTTATCGCCCAAGGGGATTCTGCAACCTTTGCGCCCAAAGGAACCCAAGAGGGGAAGAGGAAGACCCTGTCGCAGGATTTTACCCATTTTGAGTTAAACTCCTGCTGATGCCAGCGGTGAGGCTCAAGTCCAATAAACGGTGTTCCGCAGCGCTGGGCCATGCTGAAAAAAACCGCGAGATGATGGGGCTGGAAATGCTTGGCTTGGAGGCCTGGCCGGGGTGTTGCACCGCAGCCTGTTGTCCGGGCTGCCGTGGCTGCTGCATTTTCATTTTCGTCCCTCGTCCCGTTTGGTTAGAGACCGGGAAGTGGGTCTCCCATCGTCACCCGCAGGGATGCAGGCTGGGGATGGGCAAACTGCGCCACCTATCGGCCGATAACACAGCCCTTCTGTGAACCACTTCGCTGCAAAAAAGAGGACCCCTGTTCGACTTGTCAGCACAGGTTTGTTTTGGCATTTGCCCGAGCGAGCAACACGGCAGCCACCAGGCCTAGCCGGACGAGATTTTTATTTATCTCGAACCACCCACCCGTACAACCGACCTCGTTCCCATATTCACCATTTCTTTCGAGTTAGTTATCGGTTCCTAGCGTTCCCAACACTCGTATCCTTCTTCTCGTTTGCTTGGCCGAGACATTCCACCCCTCGACACTTGCAGCGACTTACGTCACCCCCCACACCCCGCTAACCCGAGAATACAAAATATCTTGACGACCACTTATCACGTCCACCGCCTTACCTGACTGGGCAGAAAACCGACGATAACAAAACCACAAAACATCGCAAAACAAAACACACAATGGCCAACTTTGGGCGATTCGTGTGTGTGCTGGTGCCGTTCCTGCTGACGCTGGCATCGTTGATTGCCATGCTGGTAGCAGGACTGTCGGGCCTCGCTGACAAGAGCCTCTACATGTTCCGCGTCAATGTGACGGACCTATCGCTGTCGCCGGCCTCGGTCTCGAGAATCCTTGAGGGTACTGGCTTCAATGCGCCCAGTTTCGACGACATCGACCTCCCCGACGTCGACCTCCCCGACCTCTCCAAGATCGACATTCCGGACATCAACATCGATGTCGGCAAGCGCCAGTCGCAGACCGAAAACATCACGGCTGCCGACCTCGGTTTGTACGACCTCTACGACGTCAACATCTGGAACTACTGCTACACCACCCAGAATGGCACGCGCGAGTGCACCAAGGGCAAGTTCGACTGGGCCGCCACCGCGCTCAACACGACCACGGGCGACTTCAACAGCATGCTCACGGCCACCGGCCTGAACGTGACGCTGCCCAAGGAGATCACCGACGCCGTGCGCGCCTTCGGCACCGTCTCCAAGTGGACCCAGGTCGTCTTCATCATCGCCTACGTGACTCTCGGCATCGAGCTCTTCTTCGGCCTCTTCGCCAACTGCTCGCGCGCCTTCTCGTGCGTGACCTGGCTGATCGCCACGCTCGCGACCCTCGCCACGGGCGCCGCCGCGGGCCTGGCCACCGCCACGGCGGTCATCGTCGTCGGCGCCATGAAGGCGTCCGCCGAGATCTACGGCGTCGAGGCCGAGCTCAACACGCGCTTCTTGGCCACCGTCTGGATCGGTGTCGCCTTCGCCATCGCCGCCGGCCTCTTCTGGATGTTCACCATCTGCTGCTGCAAGCCCGACCACTCGTCCTCCCGCCGCAGCCGCGGCCGCGGCGAGGAGTCCGAGAAGTTCATCCCCAGCGGGCCCGGCTACCAGCGCCTCAGCGAGCCCGCCGGCTACCAGGGTGGCTATGCCAAGCCCTACGGCAACGCCCCGCAGGCGACCGGCGCCTACGAGCCTTACTCGCACGCCCGTGTGTAAGCGGGGGTGGTTGGTGATGGTGGAGTGGTGAGAGAGGGATGAAAATTCGGGGGAGGTGATGGATGGAACAGGTCACAATTTACAGGTGGAGGCAACTTCTTGGTTGGCCCATTGACCCGTTTGTTGGTATTTTTTTTCTTGGCTTTTTGATATCTTCAACTGCATATGTTTGGCGTTGGCGGTCTTTTTTCTTTTTGGGAATTCGGGAGACGAATCGGTCTGCTGGGTTTGGGTGGCTCACTCGTGGTGGGCGGCAGTTAGACGCCGATGGATGGCATCCTCGGTATGATACCCTACCGGGGTTTGATGACTGGAATAATGATTACGTTTTCTGCACCTTATGCTCACATTGGAATCGTGAAGGCTGGCTGCTGTGACACGCGTTGTTGGTTTGCTCAACCACAACATTCGGACCATGATCCATGGATACGTTTGCTGTTCGGCTGGTTGGTTGACCAAAGGTCCTTCAGTCGCTCTCAGCCAACTTGCATGATGCAGTTCAGCCCCCAGGATTGTTGGCCCCCGCCGCCCAGCTGGCGACCGTGCCACAGCCGGGCAGCTCCCGCATGTGCATGTTCGTGGCATGCATCGAGCATGGTGTGGCTGCGTGCGTGGGGTGGAGGAGATGACGAGGCGAGCCCCAGCTGCATATCGCACCGTCGAGCAGCCGGAATTCCGCCCCGTCACATTCCTGTCTGACTGTCAGCCTTCTCTGGACCGGAACCAATCGGCCGAGGTGGTCGGTCGAGTGTAAGAGCAAACGAAGCGGGCTCCAACGGTGAAACTGCAGAAAGTGAAACGCCATTTTTCCGTGTCCCCTGAGCTTCTCGAAGCTCACCTCATCTTGGTGGGTTGCCAAGGGTTTGATTCTCGGCGATGCCGAGGGGTCTGGAATTGCTACGAAGGACATTCATTGTTGTTACCAGTATTCTAGCACAACCATCTCCCCTGTGTTTTGTTTGGGTCAAGTTAATTATCTTGAGATCTGCCCCTTTCCAGGCTTGGTTGCAGATTCAGGGTTAGGGTTTATACACAATAGACAACCTCCAAAATGGGGTTCATGAGTCGAAATTCTCAACTCAGACACCACGGATGAGAAACAGCATCATCATGTTATACCAACATATTAAGCAATAAAATACATTGAAATAACAAATATTGAAAAGGATTTAAAGAAGAAACTTATTGCGGCCGCGATGGCTCGACCGGTATGGAATATTACTATCGCGACTTTTTGTTGTTGACTCACTCAAAGTTACTTTGGGAGGACAGAATTCTTCAATGAAACAAGTCACTAACCTTTTCTAGAGCCAGGCCATCACACGGCTACAGCACAGCTATGCTCTCAGCCCCGTAACTGCCCTCGCGTTGTACGAGGCCGGACCCAACCATGTCCTGCTGCTCGCCAGCGAAGACACCTGGCTCAAGATCTACGACGTTCAGTCTTCTCGTCTACTTGGCCAGCTCCGGGTGTTCTACTCCCAGCCCATCCACGGCATTCACGTTTCTCAGCCCGACGACAACAACCCGAAAGAAACCCAGCTGCTCCTCTGGGGCGGCCACTCAGTAATCCTCCTCCCGCCCAGCTCCTTCCAAGCTCTCATCGCCGGCCAAACTCCGCCCCCGCCCACCGAGTCCCACGCCCCAGACTGGATCTACGACGGCATCATCCTGCCCACCAACCCCAACTCCCTCTCAGAAGCCACGGGCGCGCTAGTAACAGCGCACAACGAAATCCTCCCTTTCTCCACCCCCCGCACCACCGCCACCACCACCACCACCACAAACGCCAACCCCCCCCCTAAACTTCGGCCCCTGGGACCTGCACCTACCACCCCTTCGTCTAGTACGTCTAACAGGGTCCTCATTCGACACCGATATCCGCCTCGGCGGACGCGGGTACGGTGTCCGGCTAGATCAGCGGTTGCAAACACTGCCACCTGTAGCACAGGATGATCGGTTACATGAAGTGAGGTTTCAAATCACACGATCCTAAGAGGCGGTGTTTTGGGGTCTCCAACCCGGCATGATATGTGGATCCGAAACGAGCGGGGAGGGCCTATTGTAAAGTACCATGCGGACGGGCCAAGGCCTATGCTT